TTGGCAAAAAATAAGTTTGCCAGTAAAGCAGGTATATGCACAATATAATTAGCATCAATTTTTGTAGGAAAGGAAATTCAAAAGATGTAAAATGCTTTCAGCTATTAATCAAAGAAGTATAAGTTAAAGCACTACTGAAATATAATTGTATAGCTAGTAAAAAAGCACAATATATAAATGGATTCTGATACCCTTTGCAGGCAAGGAAAGAGTGAAAGTGCCACACAACTACTGACCCTACTGGTTGTATTGTACATGAGGACAATCCTTTTGGGGACCTAAACAATAATGTATTAACCAAAAAGGCTTAAACTCTTTGACACAGTAATTCTTCCTTGGATGATATTTCTGGCATTTGTTTTTACCTAATGAAAAATAAAACTGAAATTTGAACAGCAACATATAGAAAGGTGCGTCTCTGCAGGCATTATGTGTAATGGAGGAAGAAGGGAAATTACTCAACTAATAGTTTAGTAAATTGTGTGTTCCAACTGGTTGAATATCAGACAGTAAATAAAATTGATAAAGTCTATGTGCACATTTTGAAAATATATAATTGCTATGAACTTAGATTACTAAACTATATGATATGGTCTGAATGTGTCCTCCCAAATTCACATGTTGAAACTTAATTGTCAATGTGGTAGGATTAAGAGGTGTGGCCTTAAGGAGGTGATTGAGCCATGAGGGTGAAGCCGGATGATATTTCTGGCATTTGTTTTTACCTAATGAAAAATAAAACTGAAATTTGAACAACAACATATAGAAAGGTGCGTCTCTGCAGGCATTATGTGTAATGGAGGAAGAAGGGAAATTACTCAACTAATAGTTTAGTAAATTGTGTATTCCAACTGGTTGAATATCAGACAGTAAATAAAATTGATAAAGTCTATGTGCACATTTTGAAAATATATAATTGCTATGAACTTAGATTACTAAACTATATGATATGGTCTGAATGTGTCCTCCCAAATTCACATGTTGAAACTTAATTGTCAATGTGGTAGGATTAAGAGGTGTGGCCTTAAGGAGGTGATTGAGCCATGAGGGTGAAGCCCTCATGAATGGATCAGACCCTTATGAATGAGGTTTGAGGGAGGTGCCTGCTCTCTTTTCCTCTTCTGCATGTGAGGACATAGAGTTCAAGGCATCATCTTTGAAGCAGAGACTGGGATCTTCACCAAACACTGCCAGTGTCTTGGTCTTGGATTTCCCAGCATCCAGAACTGTGAGAGAAAAAATTTCTTTTCTTTGTAAATTATCCAGTCTCAGGTATTTTGTTGTAGCAGCACAAAGGGACTAAGGCATATATACTAATAAAACTATGTTCAAATGTGTATTGTTTGATACAAGTTGCAAGAGAAATGATGCAAAATAAAAATGAAAAAAGATATGTCAGGATAGGAAATTTGGGAAAATTTTCCATTCATTAAACTACCTTTTAAGCATTTTTATATTGATTAAAAGCAAAAACCTGGTCTTAAAAAGATACCATCCCATCCCTTTTTCCCTGTTCAATACAGGAACTAAAACCAGAAAACATCCAAAATCTTATTTCAAATATATCTGAGTCCTTCCAATGTTTCCATGCAACTAGCAACAGGGATATTAAATGTAAGTGAATGTCTGGAGAGAATATGAACAGGAAAGTTCATCGGCAGACTTGTTAATTCACAATGTTTCCATGCAACTAGGCAAAAACCTGGTCTTAAAAAGATACCATCCCATCCCTTTTTCCCTGTTCAATACAGGAACTAAAACCAGAAAACATCCAAAATCTTATTTCAAATATATCTGAGTCCTTCCAATGTTTCCATGCAACTAGCAACAGGGATATTAAATGTAAGTGAATGTCTGGAGAGAATATGAACAGGAAAGTTCATCGGCAGACTTGTTAATTCACATAAAGGATTATCCTAGGAAAGAGAATTTAATAAAAACAAAGCCAGGTTAAATGCTATGAGAAGTTTTTAATATCCATTAAATTCTATTCCTACTAATCTCATATTCACTGTTGTATATAGCTCTGGCATCTGATTCAGGTTGGCATTAAAATATCTAGGCATTAATGCTAATTAAATCTACCTTTTCATCATGAAAACCTACATTTTTCCCTTTAATATCAAACATATGCAATATAATTTAGTACGCTAAAAAATATTTTAGATCCTCTTTTTTTTGCCCAATAAAATCAGATGGGAAATTGACTAATGTGGATATCATATATTGTTGATTATTTTCCATCTTGATTTTAAGAAATAAATGATAAAAATAGCTTGTGCAATATTTATTCTGATTCCACACTGAATTTCTGCCCCCTGTTGGAACCCGAGGTAACCCTCTGTGCAGGTGTGGATCTGCTTGGTTCCTTTCTAGCTGTCTAAATTAGAATTACTAAAGGAGTATTTTAGAAATAGCCTTCTGTGGGATTTTGGATTTCAATACAAATTAGCACACATTTTATCATCATAAAAAAATCTAAGCATAGCCTTCACTGAAAAATTAAAGGTTATGTAAAACTTCCATTTTATTCTGCATAAGAGAAATAAAGCTGTACAATTTTCAAATACTTTTAACCTTAAATACAGCACTTATTATGGGGTATTGGTGCCTACACCTTAGTAAATATCTCCTGAAATTAATTAAATAAAGCAATATTTATTTTGAATTGTAGAAATGAAGAAAGTCTAACTACTTTTATATTTCAAAGTTATTTGTGATCCTAACACACCAACCAATGAATACAGCAATTAAATAGTTGTGGAACATCAGTCTGTTTCTCTTATATAACACTGGTCAAATTCTAAAATTGCTCTTGGAACATCTTAGAGAAAAATTTTGACAACTTAGTCATGGTCTTTAGGATTCAATGGCAGATTTAACTGCATGAACTATCATAAATTACTGCAAAGTTAAGAGTATCTGCTTGTAGTTTCAAAGTCTGAGTGTTCCCTTGGTTGTCCTGGTGTACTCATTCCTCTGCTGACTATGAACTTGTACCAGGGTTAAACAAGAACACAAATAATCAAGGTGATGGAATTGTGTTGAGGCTGTGATGGACTCCTTGCTGTTCCCTGAGCACGTTAGGCATGCTCTCACCTGAGGACATGTGCACTGCTGCTCCCCATGGTGGCAATGCTCTTTCTCTGAGATTCCGCATGATTCACCCCTTCACTTCTTACAGGTCTCTAATGAAATCCCCCATTGAAAGGTGTACCCCTTTTTCCCATCCTGTCACCTTTTACTCCTCTGACTTCTGTTCTTTTCTGTATTTATTCTACCTGTCTCATTACTGATTTATTTACTTACATTTATCATCCATTTCCCCACAACATAATGCACACTACATGAGAGTAGGAACTTTGTTTTTTCAACACTGTATCCTCAGCAACTACTGAGTTGTAGTACCACAACCACAACAGTGCTGGCACATAATTGGTGTTCAATGCATATTTACTGGATGAATCAATAATAAATAAATGAGTGAATGAGAAAAGACTGAATGAACATCAGTGTATCAGAAGGGAGAGATCACTTCTCTGCTAGTAAAAAAAATTAAAAGTAATATTTGATGCATTCAGTTGTGGACATATTTTCAATCAAGCATTTAATAAACTTGCAATAGAGTGAAAAATACACAGCAATTAAAGGGGGAAATTCTGAATATTTTGTCAACCATGAAAACGTAATGCTCCTTTCAAATAGTCCTGTCATGTTGCATAGGCAAGATCATGCTGGGTAGGGCTTGAAAACTAGAACTTGGCCATACTAACTTGAAATGGAATTTCATAGATGAGAGGCTGCTGTCTTGAAAGGCCTTCCTCCCCATTCCACCTCTACATCCTGATTTATCAAAACCCAATTTGAACATCACCCTCTCCATGCCAAGTTCCCGGATCTAACCACCTTAAAGATCTATTTTCCCTTTGAATCTTATTCTTTAGCTGTAACTTAGATTGTTTATGTTTTCTTTTACTTGAGTTTTTATGTGTGGTTTTTTAAAATCATTATGTTATTATTATGTCCTGTTTTTAATTTTTTGTTAATATTTTTTGTTGTTTGTTCTTCAGGCTTTATGTCTCCCACATGAACACTTTATGATATAGCCAACAGCACCAACTGCACTCCTTTCCATGGATTAAGTATCATGTAAATTTTAATAAATAAGTAAATTCCATCCTCAAAATCTCATTGGCACGGAATTAAGAAGAGACTATGTCTCATGGCAGAAGACTAGCTCCCAATTCAGCTTAAAATGAGGACTAAAATTCTGCCCTATTTTTTGCATCTACATGGTTTCACTTCCTCGTGAAAATGGAGAGGGGACAGAAGAGGATCACATGATGATGAAGAGGTTCTTGACTTGGGGATTCCTGCTTACATTTTGAATCTGATGAGTCTGATATAGCTGTATGAATTCATGCACCTGCCTTGGCTGCCCCAGACAGAGCACAGTTGCTCAAGACCAACCACCTGGATAGGACACATCAAAGGTTCCCCCTTACCTTTTCAGAAAGAGCACACTGTGCGAGCTCCTGGACCACAATTTTGCTAGAATAGGAAGGCAGTAGCAATCCCAAGAAAGTATCTAGCTCACAATACTTGAGTTACGGGGATCTGAACCACTGGAGAGTATGGAATGTCTAACAATTGCAGTGAAAACAACAGTTTTGTTGAGCTAATTGAATCAGCTCCTACTAAGCAAATTCCTATTGTGAATAAAATGGATGCACATTTTTGTACCTACAATATAAATATGTTAATATAAATGCAAGGGTGATAAGATTCTGGGTCACAGTTATGAAAATGTGGGACTGCATTCATTTGTATGACTAAATTATCACTGCAAATACAGGAACTAAAACCAGAAAACATCCAAAATCTTATTTCAAATATATCTGAGTCCTTCCAATGTTTCCACGCAACTAGAATGTAAACCAGAACCACCCAATAGAATGTGGTATAGCAAAGACTCGAGCCAGGTGGGGACATTCACCTACCGATGCACACCACTGCTGCACATGATGATGTGGCAGGCTCCCAGCCTGTCGCACAGCTCCGAGGACACTGACAGCAGCCCAACTCCAGAGGCTCCGCAAGCAGTGTTTGCACAGGCAGCTGTGCGTTTGGATCTGACAAACGAGGCGACCAGTCGATAAAGTTCATCCAAAGCATTGAGAGGCCTCATTAGCTGCAGAATAGAGCAATGAGCATAAAGTTGAACATGTTTAGTAGAAATCCTTTAGATGGGATACAGTTCACAGTTTTATAGCTTTTCACAAATAGTCTAAATTATCGTTTTGTTATGGAGGTAACAGAATTGGAGAGTATAAATATTTATAATTATTCATTGCTCAAGAACAATAGCAGAAAAATTAAATAAGGGATGTAGGTAAATAATAAAGCATCACTAAACATAATAATCTATTTTTACCTTATCTATATAGGCAGCTTTGGATGTGGAGTCTGGTGGTGAATTTGACTTGTCCAAGTAGAATGCCCTGTAAGAATCCAAAGAAGAAATTATCATTTACTGTTAAGAAAAAAATTTTAAATGCAGGAAGACATTCAAGTTTCACTGATTTCCTTTTAAAGACAAATGAATAAACAAAATCGCTGAACACTAGGAGGACAGGGGTTGCACAAAAGTCAATAGTTTTCCATTCAAAAAACAATTAAAGCTACCACCAGCTCTGTTACGTATTGTGTGGCCTTAGAGAGATCACTTGTCTGTGCTTGGTTTCTTCATTTGTAATTCGATGATAGCATCTGCTTCTACTGCATAAGGCTACCAAGAAGATTAAATTAGATAATGCAGATAAAATGCTTAGAACAGTGCATAGCACAGAGTAAGTGCTTATTAATATTTTCAATAATTAATATTTTTATAACAAAGTTGAAGTCTTGAATTTTCTTGAGACTACTGGAGAACATTATCCAGTCTTCATTTATCATGAAAAT